AACTTTATAGTCCTAAGTGCTTGCGTCCAACAGTGAAAGTGTTACAATGCAGTTTAGGACCCTGTGCAGACGGTATAATCCAGAAGTGACTGGAAAGGGGGCTATGGGAAAACACGGTTAGGAGAGGAATGGAAGGGATGGCGAACAGAGGGTGGTGCCAACAGGAAATCCAGGTGCAAGGGGGGGAACGCTGACAAACAAGTCCAAGGAAGTCCAAAAGGGAAACTGGGGCGCAGTCTATAATCCAAAGCTGGGAGGTCCATCCAAGACAAGGACGATTAAGACGATTAAAATCCTTGGGAAGGGGAAACCTGAACAGGAAGACAGAGGTTAAAAATGGAGTGACGAGGCAAGGCGCTCCGAGCCCCAGACTGAGCTTGGTGAGGTCGCCGATCGGAAGCCTATGCCTTCAAGCCACGGACTTGGGTGACTTGAAGCTAGGCGGGTCACCGGGCGTCAATCTTCCAATGCAGAGCCCCGAACTTCCAGAGCACCGGGTTTAAATAAAGGACGGAACAGGGGGCAGGTGAACGTGATAATGAAAAACACAAAAGATTCAGAGCGCCCTCTAGAGGAGCGATGACGATCATGACAGAAAGGTTCTGGTAATGTTCTGTAATGATGTAGGGCATCGTTTCCTGGCATGTTTTGCAACCATTTTCTTAGAAGGCAAGGTCAATGCCAGGTCCTACTTAATGGTACTGAGTGATCGTTTCACCCCATTTTACAGCAGTTCTATCCTGGCTGATGGCATGTCTGCCAGGATGACAATGCACCCATCCATAGAGCCCATGCAAACACGGGGAGAACATACAGCCTCCAAACAGATAGCACCCCAGGTCTGGAATTGAACCCAGGGTTCCAGCTTTCCAAGGCAGCAATGCTAGGCATTACACCGCTATGTTGCATACTATGTTTTATGACAATATAACATTTTCCATCATAGGCAGTGCACAATGGCAATGCTGATTGATATTCACAAACTTAATAATAAGTACTTAAGGGAATAGTAAAGTATTTCCTTTGTGCGTTTACTATAGAAATCAAATAAGCCAACTGTGGATGTACAGTACAGCTAAAGCATATATGCTTACTGTAGGTACTGTATGCATAAAGATATGTGCAAGCAAACAGTGATCACAAACCAATCTTTAGAGTATTAATGTGAATATGTAATGAACTGCATGTTATATGATAAAATGTAATGACCTGTTTAACAGCTCTCTCTTTCTGTATATAGATTGTATAACACTTCATGGATTTGTTAGGTTCATATTCTTCTCATTCCCTCAAAAGCTTTTTAACTGTGTGTGTTTTAAGTGCATTTCTTTATTAGGCTTTTGGCAGTCTTCCACATGTCCACCACACAGTGTCAGTATTACTCTGTTATATGTAATATGTTTTTCTTTGTTGTCCTGTGCAGAAGATGGAGAGCTGAAGACTTGGGGAGACAACAGAGAAGATTTAGAGCTTGAAGATGATGGTTTAAAAACAGAGTTACCCCTTGAGCAGGTTGGCTTTATTAATTACAAAGTCTTATATTCCTTCAAATATTTCTTATTGAATATCATATATACATTATATTGCATAATACAAACAGGAGAAAGCATATGGTAAAGAAATATTTGTTGCTAAAAGTTGGTAATACTTTAACGGTATATACATTTTTTGTACTTTTGCTGCTAGACTTCAATTACAGAATAATTCATACAATATTATATAGTATCTAACAGCCTAACCTTTTCTATTTATAGCTACTACTAATCCTTTGAGTAATTGAAAATGAAAGTATCATGTAAAAGAATACTGTATATGTCGAAAAAGAAGTAAAATTCAAGCATTCTAACTCCACCATAAAAAAAATCTTCTCAGGCACAATATAATCTTGCTACCATTTCTACGTCCTTAATTAAGAGACATACTACAGTATTAAAAGGACGCGTTTTTTCCATGTTTAGAGTTGATTGGCTAAACAGATGCAGTTTGGGAAGTATTTTGATATATTTTGGTTTGTTGACTGAGACCATTACTGCAGCAATAGCTGATTTGTAAACTTGATTTTAATTTTGTTGAAAAAGATTTGAAATCTTTTCTGGAAAACAATTATGCTAAGTTTCTAATTTTGTTTAGACAAAAGCATAGTAGAATTCTGTTATCCCAGGAACGTCAAATTTAGAGTTGTTTGTCTCGAGCATTTTCAAAAAGAAGCAGTTTGAATTTGGAAAGAAAAAAAGGACAGTTACAGTACAATTCATATTACCCTCTATCCAAAGGTTTGGAAGCATAAAAACTCTAGGTTGTAAATGCTATGCTGATTTTAATATTGTAGGTAACAATACTGTATTACTATCATAATCATGCAAACCCAGGCTCACACTCCCATGTTACTACAGCAACCAGCTGCATCTCCAAGCAGATTAAAATACCTACCCATGGTATGGGCATTTATCTGTACCACCTGTTCCTAATTAACAGGTACTTACAATACCTTGTTAACATCAGGTATTTTAGTCGTCAGGTTTTTTTGCTTGTGTCTCTTGCTTATTCCTAGCTGCACTTGGTTGTTTTCTTATTCTCTAGTTTGCTTCCTAGCTTTGCTTCATTGTACACAGACCCATGCTTGCACTCACAACCTTGCTCCGCGATTCTTCTCATTCCATGTCTACTTGGCTTCGGGGCTGCTTGCTCTTTTGACTACATCTCCTGGATTTACCTTTTGTTATGGACTGATTTCCACCTTGCCTCGACTCTCAGTGCAGTACTTTCAGTTTTGCAGTAGCTTTTCTGCGACTGGTGCACTCCTCAGGACAGTGTAGCATCATTACAGTGACTTAATACAGAACATTCACCTGACACATATTTAAATTATTCTGTTTTTAGTTTCTTTTTCTTCAGACTTGTCAGGCTTAGACAAGCACTGTGATTAAAACTGACCAGCAGCAATGGTCCTGATTTTCTTACCCAGTTAACAAAAGAGTAACATTTAATGGTAAATAAATATACCTTTATTAATAACTGAGCTTTGTTACTTAAAGGTCTTGTGACTTTTTGTGAGCTAACGTGAAAATGAAAACATTTTAATAAAAATAATAAAGATAGAATGAATGTTTTAAAATAGTAATACTGCTTTTAGAAAAGTAAAAGAATACATACAGTAAAGGTTTAATCTGAAGAAAACTTCACAGCCAAAACATCTTTCATTTCAGCATAGAATAAACATTTACTTGTTTCATAATAAAATGTTTACATTATGAATGACCAAATTGATAAACAAAAATAAATAAATTCAGTGCCCTCCAAGTATTGAGACAGTAAGCAAGTTCGAGCAATTCTTATTTATGATATTGAGATTAATCTGAAAGATATATATATAATGCGATTTAATCAATTTAATTGGGGTTGATTCATCCATAAATGTGATAAAATCAGAATAAAAAACATCATGTTCAACCCTGTAAGTTCAAGCCAGCATACATTTTGGGACACATTGATTTTAAGCAAAATTTAGAGTGTTAAGGTTTGTATTTGGTTACATATTCCTTTGAGGCAATAACTGATTTAGCTCCCATTGAGCTCCCCAAACTCTTTGTGTAGCTATTTGAGATGCTTTCCCAAGAAGCCATTTTAAGATCTTGACTATTCTTGCAGTGCTCTGAATTATTTTTTTTCTTCAGCATGTAAACTGCATTCTCAATTATATTTAAATCTAAAGATTGATTTGATAATTTTAAATGTTTCCATTATTTTCTTCTGGAGAGTGTCTTGATCATTGCATTCATTGTATTTGCCACATGTTTTGGCTTCTTGTTACTGCATGCCTCATGGTGAAGTACTGTACCACACAAAAAGAACAGAAACATTTTCTTCTACATAAGCAGCCAAAGTGTTTCTATAAATGTTAGAATTCATTCTACTCTTAAATACATTATCAATAAAGGGAGCTCCAGATCCAGCTACAGTATATGTGACATTACCTCCACCATATTTCACATGTGACATGGTTTTCTTTGGAGCTTTTGCAGTTCTCTTCTTTCTCCACACTTTAAGCTGTGTGCCTTTTCTCTTGATAAAGGTGTATATTGTTCTCTTCTGTCCATAAAACTTTGTTACAACTCTCCATACTGTAGTTATACCTTAGAGCAACTCCTTATTTGGATTTTTCATTCATGGCGCTTATTAGAGGATTACATTTTGGAATTAAGATATTGTAATTCTACTGCTGTAAACAGTGGATTTTGAAAACATCACTTGGAGATCATGAGTGATTTCGCTGGCAGTTTTTTTTGTGTAGGGGAACATTTTTATGAGAAATTGAGTGAAAATGATGGTTTAGACTGTCCCAATACATTTGGATCGCACTTTATCTTTAATAACCTTAAGTAACCTAATTAAAAAATATATATATTTATGGTGAGTACATCAAAATGCACACACAAGCATAGTAATTTAACGAAATTTAAGTTGGGTATTTTAAAGGTGAATAATATTGTAACACGTAACAAGTCAACTTGTTCACTGTAGTAAAACTAAATCACTTATCACCATAAAGTGGTGTGTGTGTGTTCAAGCTCACGATTGCTTTCAGATGTAACAGCTTTTATTTATACTAATCAAATAGTCTATAATGTAGAATAATACAAAATACAGTGATAAAAATATGAACAGTTATAGTTAAAAGTTAGTTTTACTGTAGATTTAAGTAGTTAAACCAAAATGAGAAATTCATCACCTGTATTTCCTTGTGATTTCATTTATTTTTAAACACATCAATTTTGTGTTATACTTGATGTTACTTCTTGCACTAATTATTTTGAAAAACAACAGCTTTAGAAAAACATGTCAGAAGGAATTGAACGGTTCACATTGTCTATAGTATGCTACTCTATAAACGTCTTAGACATAGTAAACACATACAGGTATTACAGTGTATTTATATTATGAGCATCTACCATTTACTTTTATACCCCCAATAGAGCTTTTATTATTATCTATTATTATAACCACTTAGAATTTTCACTGAAAACATAAAAGCATCTCATCTAGTAAAGTTTATTTTACACAGATACAAATCACCACAAACTTAATAAAAACAGCCCAAAATTAATTATTCAGGTAAAAATTTTAATGGGTGGAACAAGGAAGAAAACTCTGAGGTAGGGGAGACAAAATTACAAAAAAGCAGAGGGAGGAATTAATGCATTGAAGCAGAGCCTTATCAATGGCTTGTTTTCTGAAGAATCCATAACATTTTTTCCTTTGTCTATTGTTGGCATGTATAACTACATAAATGATATTCAACAGTTCAGAAGTTTGATGATATTACAGCTTTACTAGTTTGGGAGAAAGCTATAGATATCTGATCACTCTCCCCTGCATTTCCTTTTCTCTGAGGTGTTATTTTTTCTGTTTTTTTCCCTGAGAGATGTACTGTAGAGATGTCTACTTCACTGGACTTTCCTTCCAGTCCACTGGAATGAAAAGGGCATCACAGTACTTAACAGTACTTCACAGGTGTAGACAAGGCTTGACAGGACTTGGTGGGTCCTTGTGGGTGTGTATGACCTACTCTTTCCATTTATCCCTCCTCCATCTCTCTATTTGACTATCCATCTTCTGTCTCTCTTGCTTTTTAGATAACATTGAAATATAATTAAATAGTACCATTGTGTTCTCTCTTGTTTTCTATTTAACTATCTTTGAGAAAAAAATATACCCTCATACACGTTTTAATCTTTTACAAAGTAGATCACATCCAAGTTTGAACTGTACAGAAATAAACAACAACATTCAAATTCTATTTGCAAAATGGATAGTGAAATGTATTGAAATTGGTTACACCAATGTTTTAAAACTTAAGAAAATAAAATCAATAAATTGCACACTATTTAAAATTAAATACAATCTGCACTTCACTCCTTTTCCACCTCTGTTGTCATCTCCATCTCTATTGCAAAATGGTCAATGACCTGATTATATCAGCAAGGGCTTGTTTCCAGGAAAGTTTCTTGTGTGAGAGAACTGCCAGGTTTTTAATTATGTTCTTTAATACTTTTTAAACTTTAGCCTCTTAATGCACAGGAAACATCTATACTAGATGATGTTGAATGGCTCTGATGTTGCACAATTAAGCACATCATCTTATACAGTTAGTACATGGTGTTTGGTCAAGACTGTAAGATTTGAAGTACAGTAATACAGTAAAACTAAAACTTTTGCCACCATACAGTATATATAAATAGAAGAAATCTTCTATCTGATTTTATTACAGTCTGATTTAAAGGAATATGCATACCCCCGTGTTAAGCAATGTATTGCTTCCTCCAGAAATGTATAGTTCATTGCTATAAAGATGATTGAATTTAGTAGCTCACTTAATTGCCAGCTATCCAGGTTTGTGTATCAGCGAGTAGTCTAAAGAACTGGATTGTCCAAAATTTAAAAATACTGTGCCTTGTATTTTCCCACTTCATTGACATAGCAAACAATGATTATTACAGCTAGTATCAGTAGTCTCAACAGCCCTCCAAGAGAAAGAGTGGACTGTTTTTTTATTTTGTTTTTTAGTTCTCCCAGCGCTTTGGTTGAAATGGTAGAAATCTAGTTGTTCCAAATCATTTCAGACATTCCTGTAAACACAATAGACTCTTAAATGTCTGTGACCAGCATCTCATCATAATACTCAGCTACCTTTGTGAGTTCCCGACTTTCACCTTTGCAGAACTTTTTGTTTCATTGTAGCTTTTGGAACTGAACACTTGTCAACCCAGAAAAGATGCTACTGTATATCAATGAGCCATCTTAGAATAACCCTATTTCTCCTTACTGATTATTGTCCATTGTCTGTATCCATGACCATTCATTGAGTATGTCTTCATTTTGGCCCAGTATTGGCGATTTTGATACAGTATTTTCATTTTTACTTCAGCATTCACATAATCTTTTAACTTAACATGTTGTTGCAAAGCATGGTTTTGGTTTTAAAAATCACTGAAGATGCTCTTTATCTGTGCGAATAATGAACTTACACTGAAAATAAAAATCTAAATGAATTTTTAGCAGTCAATCTACAGTACAACACAAGTTTCTGTTCCCCTAGTAATGACAACACAGCTGTCTTGATCATACTCAAAATAAAGTAATTTTCTAGATTTAAACATTTAGCAACTAGAATAAAATTGAAGATTTTTCTATTGAAATACTGTAAATCCAGAACTCTGGCTCTTTCTTTTCACCTATGTGTCTAAATGTATAAATCTCAGTATTAATTATAACCTCTAACAAACATAGAAATCGCCAAAACTGGCATCTTTCATCCTCTCAGTAACTCAGTTGTGGACATGTGGAAGGTACGTTCTAATTGAGGCAGACTGAAGCCTGAAAAAAAATTAAAAATGTGATTCATCCAATAAAAAGCCATTTTAGCACCACATGTAGGGGAAGTGGAGGCCGTCTGAAATTTATAAATAGAAGGTAGACTGGTGCTGCCATTTAGCAATGTCTCCCATTTTCACTCTTAATATAGTTTAGTTATATAGTTTATATAGTTTTCAAAGTGAAAATTGTCCTTTCTTCTACCTTCCCTATGAAACTGTGACTGGTATGAATACATAATTCACATAAGTAGCACTGCATGAACAAAGAAATAAAGAGGTAAGCACTGATTTGAAATGTATACAGGAGGTCATTCATTTTTAAGTTAAAGACAAATAATTGATGAGTATTTGTCTGGAGACATAAACTTGTCATACAATTGTTCTGGAGTTTTATGTTCATAAAAGCAAGTCTCACAGGTAATTTTCTTTAATTAACTGACAGCATTTGCTGAATTTTTAATTGATTCATGTATTTTGCCTTATTTTCTGTGATGGTAATAATTATCTAGAAACAGAACAGTCTTCCAGGGTACACATGTATAAATTAAAGTACTATGTAGAACCTTTTGATTGCTCGATCGTAAAGTAAGACATGTACATGTACCCTCAAAGTATCTATCTGAAGTGCTTTGGTTTTCTTTCATAAAGAAATATAAGTGGATAAAGACTATAGCTTGACAGACCCAATGCTCCAGAACATGAAACAAGTATAAGTGTAATTATGGTACGTCTCCATGGAATGGAGAAATTGTGATTGCTGTATTTGCTAATAATACAGTACAGTATTACTTAAAAAGAGGTCTGTTTTACTTTTCATCTAGCATAAAAACCACAAAACATCTAAGTATTTAAAGTCAGTCATAAAATATCAGTAACTAACTTTTGTGGGGAAAAATGTATTTAGTCATTTCACATATTTTTTGAACAGTGTTATTCATTCTCTTATATAATTTGAATTGGAACATTATATGTAATTGTTAGCTAGCATTTATGATGACATACTGTACACTTCACAAGGAAAAAAAACTAATATGTTTCCATACATTAGGCCTATTACTCAATTTAGGTTCTCCAGAGCGTCAAAACACTTGTGTTTTCTTGTGGGACAAGAAATCTGCAAAACAGATTTAAAGATCTTTCGATAACTATCATAAAAATGTCTCAGGGATGCTCAACTGTCTTTTGGCAAATGAGTGCAAACTGTACACTTCCTGCTGGTAAATTATAATTATCTGCGTCTAATTAAAGTATGCTACAATGAAGCACACACTGTGAATGTCTGTAGTTAACAACTGCAAAACAGTGGACTTTAAAAATAAACCTGAAACCAAATTTGTAAGGGACATTAGTCTGAACTCCTGTAGAAGTATTCAGAAATGACTTTCAGTCATGAATATTTTTCATTTTCATTCTTTAGTATTTTTATTCTGTTTTATTTTAAATGCATTGCGATACTGAACCTACAGTATGTGGCGTACTTATATTCTCAAAAGTTTTGTGTTCCCTATTTTTAATATCCCTATTGACCTTTGTAAAAAAAATACAAAATTACTGATTACTGTAACAGAATTACTGTTCTGAAAGATCTCTAAATATACAAGAGTGTCTCAAACAGTGTAGGTGCTAAGAATGCTATTTGAATTCTTTAGCCCTGATTTGCTGGTTTAATCTACAGAGTGCAGCTGCTGTGTTTTTAATTGATTTATCTGTGCTGTTGAAACAGATATGCAGTAATATTCTGCATCTTAAGTCATTAGCCAAATGTGACCAGGATTCCTTAAATGATGGAACATGTTTGTCCAAGCCCCACTGGGGGTGGGTAGTTATGAGTTAGTAGGGGTTCTTCTCAACATGCGGTGCAACAATGACACCTGGGACCTCTCAGGGGTTTGTGAGCTTGCTGTGACGTCAATAACAGACTGCACTAGGCTGCTGCACTAGTCAATGCCAAGTCTCCTGTAAGATACTGTCGAGCTCCCAGTACAGTATGTTACAGTATGTACATTCCAAATCAGTTCAGTATAATAAATATGTGAATAAATAATATGTTTTAAGTACTACACTCAAATTTACATAGTTGCAGTAATCTGCATATTTATAATTAAAATGTCAATTTTCCTTCAATAGTACTAATGTGTTAAATGGTGATATGAATAAGTTCTTCACCCTATTGAAATGCCTATTAAATTATAAAGACTCATTCACACAGATGAGGAGCAGGTGGTGTTGGTAATTTCTTTTATTGCCAATTGTCTATCTGAAGAAATTTACTGTTTCATAATGAACATTGTGTTGCATCATCGTCAAAAAGATGTTCTTACACATAAGGCTATCACTACAATTGACATTGAAGAAATTGAAATTGATTGTTGAAGTTTCTAAGTTCTGCAACAACGTTGAAAGACGTTTACCCCATTATTCCCATTGCCTTTCAATGTAAACTCATAGAACCTGCTTCCTGTATGAATGCACTCTTATTCTGCATCAGTATGGGCTGACAAATTTTTCCAGAATGTATAATTTTCCAGGGATCATAAGAAATGTTAAATTGTGAGCCCAATAAATAAGATAACGTTTCACCTTTTTTGCTTCTAGATGAGTATGTGCTATTCTTTATCTTTTAACAAAATACATATGACAAAGGTCCAGTCTGTAACTAAACCTGATGTATAAAAGCAGTCTGTTTACAGTCTCACCCCTGAAATGCACTTCAACAATTATTTTGTTTGATGACTCACTAATATAATTCTGTAGTTCCTTTGACATGTAACTACTGCCAAGTGTTTCTATCAAGCTAAAGTAAGAATTTTAATTAAAAAAGGACTTATTTTGTTGTTTGCATGAATGCTTATACTGTGCAATGAAAATTATTTCCTTTGGTACATTGTTATTCTCTGGCCTTGGTTTTTGATTCAAAAATGTTTTATGTTTACCTCCTGTCAGCCTGTGTTGTGAAAATGATTTATTGAATCAGAAGCACTGAGCTTTCACGTTGTGTATGCTGGTGTAAATAGGACTTTAGTTAAGTTGACAATCACAGCTGTTAGTATATATAATGTTAACTATCTTATCACATTTCTCTTACAAAATAAGTAAGACCAAGTATTACATCTAAAACACTAGTAAGTTTCATTGAAACTGATTATCATCAAAATGTATGATTATAGATTATTTGCTAATTTAAATATGCTTTGCAGGTCTTTTAAGTTATTGCAGCTCAACATCCTCTTTTCTCTGAATTTGAACCTAAAGAAACAAAACCATTTACAAATATATCCACTTGTCTTATCATTTTTCACAGCAAATGCTTAATTATAGACTGTCAAGTACTCTTCTTTCATTATTTTGTAGGCCAGTGTTCTCAATTTGTTATTACTGATAAAGAATTCCATTGCTTTCTTTGACAGGCTGGTTATACTTTGTATGGGAGACATACCAACTTTAGAATATGTGATTTACAGTATGTTTGAAAACAGATCTTAAATAAGGGTTTGAATAATGGTTGAGTTGAAGAAGGATTTCCCATTTCCTACTCTTAGTAAATGTTAAAAGTGCAATTTTTAATTATTCTATGTTATTTGAATACATTTTCCTGGATTTAATACAGTTTTCAAAACTATATTTTTTATGGAACAAGTAATAGGTTTATTCCATGCTGAAAAAAAGAAGAAAGAGAACACAACGTTTCGGCCATGGAGCCTTCTTCAGTTGTGACACCTGAAGAAGGCTCCACGGCCGAAACGTTGTGTTCTCTTTTTTCTTTTTTTCAGCATGGAATAAACCTATTACTTGTTCCTTTGCAGCCTACGCATGCAGACGCAGCTACCCACCTGAATTATATTTTTTATATTTGTTACTTTTTATTTGATATCAAATGTGAAATACCAAAAAATGCATTGTACTACTCTCATACATTAGTTTTCTTTTACTGTACTTTCTTGTACTTTACTGTACCTAAAATCTATTAAATACTGTATATACAGTATACAGTATTTACTGTATCTGACATTATAGTGTGTATTTAGTAAATAACTAAAGTCCTTCAGGTCTTCATGATTTTCAACATTTTTAATGCATACTGTACACACAAATAAATAATATATTTTACTGTAAATAACAATGAAGGAGGTGACAACAAATATTAATGTACTAAGAAAATATTTTCTTGACCTTAATTATAAATGAAAATGTTGATTGTTTACTTCTGAGTTATTTCTGAGTGGTGAGACATTGTTTACTTCTCAGAACCATTAAGAAACATGCAGGCCAAAATAGTTTAAAGTACAGCAAAACTTCAGAAATCTGTGAAAATAAAAGCAAAATTAAAAACAGATGTAATTTTTTTTCTTATACGAGCAGGCAGAAGCAGTGAATGAAGAAGACTCTCCTAAGGTGGAATCTACAGAAGACTTATCTAATAGTGGAGAAGATGCAGCTGAAAATCTAATAGAAGATTCAACCACTGAACAAACCAACAACAATACTGATCCTGCAAATGAAGAGATCAGCACGGAATCAGAGGAATCACAAGAAGTAACAGAGGAGCCTTCTCATGGAGAAGATGACAAGGAGGAGGAGGAGACCAGAAAAGAGGAAGAAAATGATACAGAAACTGAGGTGACGCCAGCTGAGAATGGGGAAGATGAGGAAGAAGAGAACGATGAACCCCAAACCAAGGAAGAACTTAGTAAAGAAGAATCACAAAATGAAGAAGAGGTGGAAGAAAACCAGAAAGCAGATGAACCAGAGGAACAGCCAGAGGCAAACACAGCAGAAGGGGAGGAAGCAAAACAAGAAGAAGAGCCAGGACCACCTCACGATGACAATGGAGGAATGGAGGAAGAAGAAAAGAAAAGTCTGATGGAGTCAGTGGATAAACTAGAAGGAGGGAATGAGGAAGGGGAGGAGAAAAATGATGAATAAAGAGGCAGTGCATAAGAAGAATGTACTTAGAACATAAGAAAGATTACAAATTAGATTCAATTTTTTCCCATCTAGCTTATTTGGTTGCTAGTACAGTAGCTAAGTGATACAAAGGATCTCATCACGCTACTTACTGAAAGAAGCTACATTTTAATAGCTAGGTAGTATCTTCCAGTCTCCTACCTTGTGTAAAAAGTGCCTTTTGTTCTCAGTCTTAAATTCACTTTTGTTTTGTTTCCACTTGTGTCCTCTGATACATGTTTTAGCTTAGGCTTTTAAGAAGTGCAATATATTGACTTTGTCAGTACCCTTGATAATTTTGAATACTTGAATCATGTTCCTTGTAGTCTTCTCTGTTGAAAACTAAATAGATTCAGTTCTTTGTATGTAAAAGGTCACTTTTTTTCTGGAGGACAATATCTTTCATAATGGTGAGAAAATATTAAATTGGTGCAAGTATACAAAAATATTTACCACAGTAAATATTACCACACAATACCACAGTATATATGACAATATTTGTATCTGATGTTACATTAGTGAATCATGAAATTATAACATAAAAATCCCAGATTTAAATTAAACTATTTTAACTTTATATCTGGACATTCTCTAAGTATTGTTTTTTGTTATTTCACATTAGCTACAAGACAAACATCATTTCAAAATAATTATATGAAAGAAACCTAAGCTTTAAACACAGACAGCTTCTTGAAACTAATCATTTCCTATATTAATTTATATGTTCCTTTTGCTACCTGTATCTAATGCTCTGCACTTGAATTTCCTGTGTAGCTTCTACAAAGTGTTTGCTTATCCTAAATTGGGTATATTCTGTGAGCTTGCTTAGTTTGCTAGTTATGCCAGAATCTGGATTACAGATATAAATTAGGAGGAGCAGTGATCCTAATACAGATCTCTGTGGTACTCTACTAATTAAATCACCTATATTAGAGTTTTCACCCTTAATGAAAGGTCATATGGAAGAAACCATGAAAGTACAGACATGTTTCATAAAGAGTGCATACATACACAGATGTTTGAGTAAGTTTTAGATTCATTACAGAAAAACAAAATCTGAAAGCATTAAAAAATTTGCTGAAAAATTAGAGTATGTTAATAAAAGGATAACGACAAACTGCATAGTGGATATTCTATTTAAGTACAAAGATTTTGTTGTGCTTTAAAGACATTACTATATGTTAGAATATATGTACTCAGAGAAATGAAAATACCAGCTGCATTTGAACTCAGAAGCTCTATTAAGCTTAATTATTTATCACAATGAGAACCTAAGAAAAATGATTTTGTATAATTATAATATGCACTACCTTTACATTTTAAGATAAATATTGGTAAGTAGAAATATAATTTTCAATTCCCTTTAATAATCTTTGAAAAATATTTGAAAAATTGTCTAGGCAAAGGCATACATTGTGCTGCTGTTTTGAAATATTATATTTTTGACATTAAGATGTTAATAATTTTAAACTAATTGTAGAGTAATAGAGTAATAAAGTATTTTTGAACTCAATGTTATTTTGTTATTCCCTTTTAATTATTCGTATTAATGTGCAAAACTATTATGAAACTTTTGTGTGATAGTGGTGAACTGGTCACCAATGCAGATATCAAGTTACTTTTAGTATGTTTTTTTTTTACTGAATATCTTATCTTTTCAACATGCAATACAATGTAGAAATACTCTTTTCAGTTTTTTATAGAACAGTTATCTAAATTTTTTTGTCATTTACTAGTTATAATTATTGAAATATAACCGGGCAACTGTTTTTTGCTTGTAGTCTAGCCTAAAAAAACCTGCTACTAGAGATGTTTAGAAATAAATTCAGACAATGTCTAGTTCATTTCTGTGTTTTCTGTTCATGGACATGGGTAATATGCACTGCAAATACATTGGTGACAACTTTCCTGCAGAGTAATTGAAATACTCTACCTGCATATAATCCAGAATCCAGATATAAAAACATAAATATTTGTGAGTTTATACAACTTGCAGTTGTTTTTAGCAAATGTTCTTTGTTAATCAGAGTTTAAAATGACAGAAAGTGTAAGTCATTGGAATAGAGAGACAGAAATCAAGCCACAAACACTGACTGGGTTATTGGCACTAATGTATGAACAGCTACAGTACCTGTAGACTATCTGTAAAGTACTGTATCCAAATCTTGTTAGCCCCTTTTTTACATGGATTCAGCCTTACAAACTGCAAAGCCTGTTGCAAGACATGTTTTTGGAGGTATTTTAAATTATCAGCTGAACATCTAATTCTGGCTAGGGAGCTACTTTTTGTAATTGTGTGTTCACTTTAATTGCACAGTTTTCTTCAAACTGTATTATTTTGTTATAGGTCATAGATACAGAATATATGCTAAAGGGAAACCTGCATGCATTTTAATTTTGCTAACCTAGGAATAAATATATTAATATTCTATTTTGATAGTTTGCTCAATACTATTACTGAATGTTAACTGTGTGAAATTTGGCAACATTATTTAATAAAATAGGAATGATAAAATGCAGATTTCCATTGCTTTAAACTCTCATTGTTTTGTAATTACAAGACAAATACTGTATGCAACAACAATGAATGTATAAGCTACATACAGTATATGATACTTATAATACATATACATAATGAAGTGAATAAATAGTGATTTAGCAAATAAAATGCTTATAATAAAACACTGGTGGATGAGTTGTTTTGTCATGGGTTTTTATTTAATTCAAATCTAATAAACAACAATTCTTAATATTCACCAATTTGTGCCCTTGAGGGAGACATCCTCACTGTTATACGTCAGTGGTAATCATTTGTCCACTATAAAACCTCCATCCACTCATTTTGTAACTGCTTCAGCCAATTCAGGGTTGCAGGACAGCTAGGGTCTGTCTCAGCAAGCAATGGGTGTAAGTTAGATTACATCCTTGACTGGACACCCGTCAGTCAGAGGGCAGATATTCACATACAAACACAGACACACATACTCTCACCCCTAAGGCCAGTTTTACCTGCCTGTGTGTTTTGGACTGTGTGAGGAAACCAGCACACCCAGAGACAACCCATGTGTGAACATCGGGAAACACAAATTCCACACAGATAGGACCATTATCTTTTTGAGCTTAGGACAGGATTTTTCTATTTCTTTGAGCTGGTTGAAAACAAAGCGCAAAAATGTATAAACAAACATACTGTATAAGTGTAATTTATGTAACAATCTACAGGAATATTTTTTTAAATAATTTATTAAATAAGTGTCACCCAAATATTATTTGTCTACAGCATCTTGAAATGCACTTCATCTTATTATAGTTTGAGATCTATGACTCACTCTAGCACAGCTTCTGAGTAAGTTAAATGCGGTAAATAAAAACTCAAGTTATTTTGAGTACATTTAGACTGAGTCATATTTTTCATCACTGACACCTCATATCTCCATAGATTGCTTTTCTACTGTATGTTCAGGGTAGGTCCCTAAAGCGAGTATTAGTGTGAGGAAGGATAGGGTGGGCAGAGCTGGAGCCAGGCAAGGAGCCTATGAAGAAAAGCAAATGTCTGAAGTTCGTGGGAGATCAGTCGACTGTTTTTAAAGGGTAAAGGGAAGGAAGCAGCAGGAAAAGGAAGAGGAGAAGATATTGCTTGCACCAGAGGCCTGGTGGGTAGGCTGACTGACATTGAGGAAGGGATGCAAAAGAGAAATTAGGTGATGGGGTTAAGGTCCAATATGGCAAAGGGAAGAGGTGGTATTGTTGGGGTCAAATGCATGGTAGGTAGAATGTCTAATTTTGAGAAAGTGTTAGAAAGCATAAGGTAGAAAGGTAGGAAGGTTGGGAGGAAGCATGTCAGGTGCTGATAGCACATCGTGTGTGATGCACTTGGGAAGGAGCAGAATGAAAGGAGACCTACTGTACTGTGTTACAGCTGTTGCCTGGGACTGCAATGTCATTAAGAGATAACACAATGTGAGTGGCAAGGCCTGCAACAACGAGTACCAATACCAATACCAATTCCCCATGAATCTAAACAGTGGTGCGTTATGTTATGGGGTCCACTTTTTACCTAAATAAAATTACATTTAAACACATTTATTAATTGTTCATATTGTTAATGTAAATGTGAACAGATGCATTTAGCAACATTGATAGCTCCCAGCTAATTTACCTTATGGTGAAGGTTTCAGGAAAATTGATTTGCTTGATTTACAGAGATGTCACTGGGTCTTTAAAGAAAGAACTACTAAAGAAAATACAGTTGATCAAAATAAGTCCTAATAATTTACTCAAACGAAACAAAGTCACTGTTAAATCATTAAATCAACCATATTAAAATACATATTCAATAGTAGTTCAAGGAGGTAGCTGTGTCAGCATGCATAGGCTGCAAAGGAACAGGTAACAGATTTATTCCATGCTGAAAAAAAAAGAAAGGAAACTGCCACGCCTTCTACAGCTAGAGGGCGCTCCTATTCTGTCCTGTCCCTAGTTTCCTGTGCTTTGCTTGTCCTTCCGGTGTGTCTCTGTTTGGGGCTATATATTTCCAGGTCACGCTTTCCTCCTCGCTCAGCATTGAGGTTTGGATGTCCTGAGACCAGCCTAGCACCAGGTCGCCCCACGTCTGTGGAATGAGGGTATAGGTTTCTATACAGCATTTCCTGAACAGCTGAGTCAAGGCTAACCCCCGTCCTGCTGCTATGCATAGGGTCTTTTTTCGCTCTCCTGCCATTCCATGGTTCGTCCCTTCCAACATCCGTGACAGAAACACAAGCTGCCTCCATAGGAATGGACCACAGCATAAACACAGGAAGAAGGAATCAGCATCATCTACAGTATCATCTTCTCCGTTGTCAAAAATGTAAGTAAGTGCCTTTTGGAAATTAGATTTGAAACCAGTCCAATTCCAGTTAATCTGGATGCTAAAAGAATTCCAGACTGTTCTTTATTATATAAGAGATCTTACTAACTTATATATTTAGAAATTCAGATTTCCTTTATTGTGGAATCTACAGGATTAAACCACACATTCTACTTTAGCAATACCTTTGTTTAGAAAAGGGAAATTGGTTTCCGTTCATTGGTGAGCCTTCTGCTTAGTAAGGAAAATTCAGTCCTGGCTAGGATCCGTTTCATTAGTATACAGTTTTTCTCTCCGGATTATTAGATTGTTGTTTTTTAAAATTTTTAGATTACAAAAGTGGAATTCTAGATTTTCTACGTCCATAGAAGGTAGGGCTCTGAAGGGTATTGAATTGCAAACATCTGTGCATTGTGTGACTATTGTATATTGTATAATGTTTTGGGTTATTTATTATTATTTATAAAATATAAATAATACATCTCTTTTCTAATTTTAGGACTAAGCTTTCTGTTATGTAACACTTTTAAATAACTGACCAAAATCTTTATTATTTGTTTACCTAGCACGTTGGTATCAGTATTGTTATTGTTAACAAGTATTGTTACAGTTCTTAATTTTGTATATATTAACATTTGCATCTCTTTGTTGTGGTGCTCATCTGTTACTTTCCTTATCATTACGTTCCTGATATCTGGTCTTGTACCTGTAGTCTTCAAATCTGCTTTGAACAACCTTGTCCTTTCTCCTTCAAAAGACAAACTGGCCTGGCTCCTCAAGTACTTGGCAACTACTATCCTATTTGCAAATTGCCTCTTATCACTACAATTCTGGAATGGGTAGTGGCAACTCAATTACAATCACTCCTTGCATCTAATGAAGTCTGTGAACATATCCAGTTTGGGCTTAAACAAAGACACAGTGCTGTGATAGCACTTGTTATGGTTATGATTTGTTGATGTTTTCTAACCCCAGATCACTTAATATAGTCTTTTTTTCTGTGCTTACATGTAATGTTTGATGCTGTCAATTAGCTTTCCTCTGATGCACATCGAAAAGTATCTAGGAATAGGCACTGGTACTATCACAGGTACTTCTCTTAGTTACACTAGTTCCTATGTGGTTACCAGAAGCCATTTAATCAATGCTTTCTTTTTAAATCAGGTGATGTTCATCTTACTCATTATGTTCTGTGACTTTAACTGTTTATTATTTGCATATAAACATACAGTACATGTTTATTCGATACTATTTGATCAATAGTTTGATTTTCTCTTCTATGGTGATTACACAGATATTTACTTGTAGACCAAATAGGGTTTCTCACTTTATACAGTAGGTGCCTGTCTCATATTAAGATATACTGTAAATACAACAAAACTTTCTTAAACTAAACTTTGACAAGACAGGGAATTGTGTTCAAAGTCTCCTTTTATGAGCTCTTCAGTGC